TATAACACTATATAATATAACAGTAGCAATAATATGTCAACTTAGCAGTATAGCAGCATAAGAGTATATAGTATAACAGTATAACAGTATAACAGTAACAATAATATGCCAAATTAACAGTATACCAGCATAGCGTTATACCTGATTATGTGTAGAATTCTAGTATTCAAGTATAACAATATACTAATGTGAAATTGACTCAGTATAACAATATAAGAGTATTTCACTAGACTGGTATATTAGATCTTTAGTGCACTGGTGCATACATAAATAAATTAGTGTACACCTATTTCATATTAATTTTCTAGAATAGTAATATTAGTATGACACTATCGTAGCAATATAACCATACGAGTATAACAGTATGCGAGTACGTCAGTGTACTACTACGGCAGTAAAATATTATCTTTGCCAGCATACAAATATATTGGAAAATCAGTATAACAGCATACTAGTATGCCAATTAGTTAGTAGTAAACCTATAGTCTAGTATAATCGTATAACACTATAATAGTATGCCACATTAATAATATACCAGAATATCAGTACAACATTATGATAGGAAATCATTAAATTAGTTAGTGGGTATACCTGTTATACAAACGTATAACAATAATATAGTATGCCAGCTGCTTAATAGAATAGCTGAATACACTGTTATATGTATGTATACAGTCATATATTCAGCTAACTTCGCGCTGACAATCCCTACGAGCGCTGCTAATTAATAAGTTAATAAGTTTCTGGTTCGCCTTTATATAAATCAAGCTGAGATAGAAATCTTAAAAGCAAATTCGAAATCGAATGGCCCACGCGCAGCCTATATCCGCCTGGCTGAAGGCCTAAGGCTTTGGCTAATTTCCGATAAATAACATTGCAAATTTTACAAAGCTCTCTTCCGCTAGCCAATAAAGGAGTTGAGGGCCAAAAGCGAAAAGGATGTTAACTTGCTATAAATACATATTGGGCTTTCGATGAGCCTCCGTTGGCTGGAATCCCACAGCGTGTTAATGGCAATTAATTAGGGGCGTAAATAGGCAACGGAATTGCGGCCTTTTAATTGCCCAAACCAATGGCAATTGGTGCTGCTGCTGCTGCTGCCGCTGCTGCTGGCTGTCTGGCTGGCTGCATGATGCGTTCGATCGACTGGGCCCTGGCCAGGACATCTGCAGGCCACCCAAGTGCGCAGCGCCTTGGGCGCTCCTGCTGATTAACGCCGGGTATTAACAAGCATTTAGTTGGACAAAACAAAAAAATAATAAAAATTAAGAGCGAAAAAACAAAACGCGACGCGAAAAAGGGGCCGCAGGATCGCTGGCAAAGGCGAGCCGACAGAAGACAGCCGAGAGGACATTTGTCCTGCGCGCTGCATGTTGCATGTCTGGCGGCAATAAAAAATTCATATTTAAAATGCATAACAATGAGACGCGACTGAGCAACGCGAAAGAGAACAAAAAGCGAGCGGCACGCGAAGCTTAGACAGAGTTAGCTCAGCCAGGAGCAGCCACAGCCACAGCCACAGCAGCAGCAGCAGCAGGAGTTGTCCGTGCACCCACAAGCGGAGGGACGGCCAAGGATCGGGCCATTGCACTGGAGCACCTTTTGCAAAATTAAGCTGACTTTGTTGTTGTTGCTGCTGTGGTTGTTGTTGCTGTTGCTGGCACGCGCGCTGTCCTCGTTGAAATTGCCGTTGATCCTTGCACTGCTTATCCTTAATTTCGTTTACTTTTTGCGCCCCGGCTGTCGTGGAGTTCCTTTTGCATTTAGCTGGACAGGTGCAAAGTCTTTTCTTTTTTTTTTCTCCTTTTACTCCTTTATTGTGTCCCTTTCGCTACTCGCTGTCACCCTCTCTCTCTCTCTCTCTGTGTCGCTCTCACTCTGTCTGTCTCGCTCGCTTGGCATTAATTCGCTTCTTTATTTTTCGGTAATTGCCAAAAATGTTCCGAGTGAACGAGCGAATCCTCTCGGTCCGCTGCCGTCGCCTTCGTTTGCTGCGCTGTGCTGCGTGCTCTGATCCTGCTGTCGCAGGATTATGGGACGCCTTGGCAGGACAGCGCGCTGATCCTTAGCGCTTGATTGCGATTTCACGTACCCAAAATTCCCGTTCCCATTTCGGCTCTTCGCATATTTGCAGCCCCGACAGCCATGCGATCATTGACTTTAGTCAGGCAATCCGCCTGCAACAGCCCCCTGTCCCCTATCCCCTGTCTCCTGGCCGCTGCCCCTGTTCCTGCTCCTGCTCCTGCTCCTGGCCTCTGCCAGCCTGTGTGGCCAGCATAAGGATAACGACGCAGCTCGGCGAGAATTTGGCACATGGAACTTTTGCCATAGCAATTACTTACACAAATATTTAACGTGTTAAATGTATATACTAAATAATATATATTAAAAAATAAATAGCTATGTATCTAAGTACATGTTTATAAAATAATAAATATACATATACATACATATGTACGTATATATAGACACATAAATTAAAATAATTCGCATTTTATTATTAATTACTTATTTTCATTAACAATTATACTTACTCTAAATTCATCCTTTTTAATCGCATTATTTACTTAGCTTGAATACCCCTAAACACGCTTTCACACACATAGCATTTAGCGTTAGTATTTATTTGCCATATGCCAGTGTGTGTGTGTGAGTGCATGGACAGATGCGCAACAAATTTAAGTTCATGAACAGAAAAACGTAAGGAAAGACTGAGCTTAGCAACAAGCCTTGACATTGACTGTATAAGAGAACTGGCATATTGTAAGAGAGAGCGAAAGAGCAAAAGCAGTTGTAGCTTTGCCTTGCCGGTCTCGCACCGCACAGATGGCGCCTACTGGCATGAGCCAGTTACAGCAACAATCCTAGGCAATGGGCAGCGGCCATTTTGTAAGCAGCAGCAACAATAACAAACGCCAATATCCAATCGGCAAACGCAACGACGCAACCACATCCACACAACAACAACAACAAGCGCTGTAAGCTGAAATGCAATTTGCAAGCGCAGCAACAGCAAAGCAAAAACCAAAAGCAAGCGCAAAAGCAAACGCAAAAGCACGTGCATTGCTTGATGGCGTGTGTATGAGCGAGAAAGGTATAGACGAGCAGCTCTGTGGGCGTAGGGCGCGTGTGCCTGAGTGCAGCTTAGCGACTCTTGGTTGGTTGGCGTTTAAACCTAATAAGTATATGTGAGTGTATGTTTGTGTGTATGTGAATGCATGCAAGCAGTAAGTATTGCTGTACATGCAAAAGGATGTATGTGTGTATGTATTTACATATGCTTGCATATTCTTTTGTAGGAATTGAATACTGTTTGCTGTTGTGATCAAATTCTAATGAAATCTCTTGCATAAAAGCTTTGTTATCCGTTAGTTACAACAAGATTGACTTGTTTTTCTTTTTCTTCTTTTATCATTCTTCTAATTTGTTTGAGTGCCCAAAATTTTTGTTTGGCAGCTGTAAAGCCGGCCGAACTTGTACCCAAAAACTGATTTTAAGTCTGAACCAACAAAGAAAGATACATTCGTTGGCTAATTATGAATAACAAAAGCGCCAACCGGCCCAGAAACCCCTTTCGATGCCCATTGTTCAAGATCTTCAAGTTGCGGCAGCTGGACTGCTAGCAGTGGGAACCAGGACGCCTGCGCTTGGGATGCTGCAAGGACAATGCGATGGCCGGCTGACCGGCTGACCAGTTGACCATGTGACCAGTTGACCAGGCCTGTCCTATGGGCGGCAGCTGTGCCGCGCGTTAGAAACTAGAAAAGCTCTTTGTTCCTTTTGTCCTATTGTTTAGTCTGGACAAATCAGTTATGTCCATTCATAGGTCTGAGAGTATGTGTGTGTGTGTGCGATAGGGCGCCTAAGTACAACTTTGATCACGTACGGCTTACGCTTTTCAAATATCTTATAAACTTTTTGTCTCTTTGTCTTTTTCGTCTTTGACAGTGTGTCGCCATCTAGCGGCTGCAGTCGGCTCATTTGTATAACAAGTGATATAAAGCTCGCAACACCCAGCTGGTGGGTGTCCCGGCTAAACTTTTATTTCAGTTTGTTATTTAACGAAACTTTTGATTGGACAACTGCAAAAGCCATTGTAAGGGGAAAATAGCTTGAAAAAATTAGAGTGGACCTTCAAAACTGATGGAATTTATCTAAGAGGGGGAACAATATTTAGAATTGAAGGAGAAAACTGGAGTGGACCAGATGCTATACACTATATTCAAAATTGATTGATTCAAAGTTGAAATTGAAGGGGTAATTGGGATCTAATTTGCATTTGGGATTTTAAATAGAAGGGGGAATTAGAGTGACCCCATAATCTCAAACAACACATTGAAATCTGGTAAAATTCATTATTTATCTTAAGCTTTTAGCTAATTTA